AAATTTTGGGATAATTCCTTGTGAGGGCCACAAGAAGAGAATTTTCGCGTTGGTATTTTTCCAAATCTGCCTCGCGTTGCGTGTTCCTCTTATTTTGGAATTCCCAACCCGAACACCTTATGCATTGCACACTCCACTCGGTCCAATTACTATCACTAAGAAACTTTGGAGAATTCCAAAATTGTAATTGGATACTGTTACTGGACACCCACGTGATTGCAGACCACCTGCGGGACAACTAGACGCTCTAAAGAAACAATCTGAGTTGATTTTTTTTTTAGTTAAGGTCGAAAATATTTTCTCTGCATCTTCACAAATTCGTGAATCAGATTTAGGTGGTTAATAAACCATCTCTGAGTCTTTATAAACTCAATCACAATTGATTTTATAATTTCCCTCACAGATACGGCGATACGGATACGGTATCTTTTTCTCAATCAATTCACTCCCTTCATTAAATCGTTTTCTTTCGTTATTTGTTGTTCTCTAGCATTATAAAGTAAGAAAATAAAAATTAAAACAATTACAACTGTTTAAAAAGAAAAGAAAAGAAAAGAAAAAACAACACAACCAAAAAAATAATGCCGGGACCAGGATTCGAACCTGGGTTACTGCGGCCACAACGCAGTGTCCTAACCACTAGACGATCGCGGCGAGCCACCGAGGAGGCGGATGAATGAGAGAGGTAATTATTGGAAGTAGTAACTATTCCCAGCAGGTACCGGCACACAATAGAGTTGATCCGTCGCTGTTTTGCAAAGTCAACGAACCAGATCTTGAAAATGAATAAGGAGTAACTAATGATGGGTTATCAGACGACTCGATTGAATAGATAGCTTTATTTTTGAGCACACGGAAAGACAAAGGAACTTATCCTCGAATAGGCTTTGATAGATTGTGCTGGGATAATTTTTGGTATAATTCGTCAATGCGAGCATACTTTTCATCGATTTTCTGACAAAAAAAAAAAAAAATTATAGCATAATTTGCACCTTTTGGCCAGTTTTGCAGCACAAAATTGTCATTTACTGATCATGCAACCAATTGTTTAGGCCCGAGATCAGTGTTCAAGGCAAATTTAAGTAGCAAAATAATTTTTTGTCTGCTAATTGTCACATTCATGGGACCTGAGTCCCACGGGAAGTGACTCAGGACTCTTTCCATGGACTCAACGCATGCGCATAACTAGCTCGGCTACCCAGGATGACGTCCGCGACAGCGAATACATATAGTGACTGCATACAGTGAGGTACAAGTGTTTTCCATTTTCTTGTTTGTTGTATAGTTATTGGTGTTCTTACCAAATTTAAAACAAAAAGTAGAAGTATAATTTCTACATTTGTTTCTTCTAAAATTACCATAGTTTACAAAAACTAGCATAATCCTCAGCATAATTTTAGAAATATACGAGCACTGCTAGTAGCATATCATGCCACCTTTGCGAGCACAGCTTATCAAAGCCTATTCTCGAATACCCACTTTGAACTTCCTCTGTGCCCAAGTATTGATTTTATTTACCATTAAAGTAAATTTTCACAAGTAACACCCTTTATTTACCTTACCTTTACCAAAAAGAGCACACAACTTTCGAGGTCCTTTCATTTTTAGACACAAACGTACATTGCAAAGAATGGTGATGACTTCCAGCTTGAGCATGACTTCGAGGCTTTGCATGACTAGGCAAATTGTTCATACCCCTCCCATATGGTGACATTGAAAGCGCACCTCACTAAGGTGGAATTGTCCCCTCCTGGAGGACACAAAAAGAATTAAATTATCCGGGGTATACCCGGGGTGGTGTTCATGTCTAGATTTAATCGATAAATGACATCATCATGACCGATATTGAAAACATCGGTGAAGGCCGACCAGAAAAATGTACGGGATACGGCATCAAGTACTAACATGAACAAAATGTATGAATTGAAATGTGAGCACCAGCGGTAGGAAAATGTTACAGTTTGCTTTTCCAATTTTTATCTCGTTTATGTAACTGGTTTGTAGTAGCTGACATTTTGCTTGGGAACGAAGATGAGCTTAATTTAATTCATTCTGCTAAAGCTTGCTTGTCCTCTTTACTTCTTTTTTTCTCATCAGGCTCTTTGACACTTCTATAAATATATATTATTAGACGAAAATGGTCAATGACTTTGCATTTTAGTTTGCAACTTTTTCACTGCAAAACATTACCGGTCTAGATGCCGGTCTAGATGGGAAAATATAGACCGCTTACAATATCGATTTCCGCCAATCAAATTCGTGAATTTTACAGTTTCCGGTCCTCGTGAGAGAGAACCATATAATAAGTCGAATTAAGTATCTTAAAAATACTTTGACTTTTAAGACTGTTACTGTGGTTGCTCTCACTTATTTCAGTGAGCTATGCTTCCCTCTTACCCTCTTCATCCCCCTCCACTCCACTTCTCGCGTTTAAAATTGTTCCGATCCGGCTCAAGCCAGGTTATTACTCTGGGGGAGAGGAAGGGGGTTCGTACATAGACAATATTATTATTGAAATCCTTTTTTCCATTATGGTTATGTTAACGCAATCAGGAGCTCTGCTTCTAGGCTTGGCTAAATCTGTATCATATTTATGTACAGAAACCTGGAAAAATCTCCGACGGAATGTGAGCTCAATTGTGAATTTCTGTCCATSATTAATTTCGATGGAAAAAATGCAGAGTAAAAGCAAAAACGATGAACTTTATTGACAATTTTTGGTAATTGACAAGCATAATGCAAAAGAGTTTTTAAAATACAAAATAACACATACCAGATGATACAACAGCAGAAGTGAAGGGTATATTAATAGGTACAAGTTAAAAAGGCTTAAAGCAAATATTACGCATGTCAGTGTAATGGCAAGAGATCCGCGCTGCAGGTAGGGATGGAAATACTGGGAAGCTGGTAAAGGAGATAGTTTAATCTCAACGGCTGCAAGTCTCCTGCAGAGTTGTCAGGAGTTATTTTGGCCACATACAAACTACCTTTAAATGGTAGGAGACCTGAAAATAACAGTTTAATAAGATAGAAAAACACCAAAGAGATAATAATAAACCATAAATGGATAAGGATGGTTAAGGATGAGGAAGATTAACACGGATTACAAACGACGAATTTGAAAAATTGAGGCTAAACTTTTCAATATGTGATATGCGCAAACCGTGGCGTGGCTCCTTTAAAGGCTATCCCACTGCTTTCGAAAATTAGGAACCAGTGAAAGTCGGGAGGAGGTACAATTAGGACTGTATTCTTGGCTTGCACTGTCATGCAGTAGAAAAATATAATTCGAAAACCATTCAGTGGATAAAGTCAAAAAATTGTGATGTTGTAAGAGATTGGAAAAGAAGGCACTTCAGCAAATTTTAAGTCTGCGTTTTCCCAAACTTCAGATATTCGTCGAAATATTTTGCACAAATTTACAGAGCCCAGTATGGAGCTGCCATGTTGGTGTACCTCTGTGGTACACCGACATGATGGCCGGAAAATAGTA